TCTTTCGCATATGTCGAAATATTGCATGATCAACGGCGTCTACTGTACTTGGTATCACTCGAAGTCATCGGATGGACTTATCAGTCTCCGGCAAGATTCAGGCCCGGTGATCAGTTTAGCCTGCCAGTTGCGGACCAGCTTTTGGGCACCCGTCTGATCATTTTGTAGACTTCACCAATAGGTCTCAGTTTCTCAAGAGCGAAACTGTGCACAGTTCCAGAAGTCCGATTATGTGCATCCGCTTGAGCAATTTGATGACTTAGTTTGAGTAGTAAGGACTTGTCGGCAGGGGTTCCGGTAGTTTGATGCGGCATTTTCCAACCTATTATGCTTTTATTCGGCTAAGCAGATAACGCTCGACACCATCAGTAGATTATGCATCAACTGTAATTGAATATATTTCGAAATATATTATAACGCGGAGCCCTTAAATTTACCGCACGAAATTGTTTTGGTCGGAAAATAATCCTTGGCTGCTGCACATTGTTTTTCAGGAGGATAAGTATGCAACCGGAAAACCGCATTTCATAAAGAAGTCAAGCCGGAGGTAGACCTTATATCTGGGACTTTCGCTAATAGGATCACATAAACTCCCAGCGTGACTATATCTCCGGGGAGTTCATGGCCCTGCCGCACTTTACTGAGAGTGGTAACGTTCGCGTCGAAGGTTTGCTCGGGACACCACCCCACCCCAGGCCCATGGGCCCAATCTATAACCCCGTAGGTAATCGCTCGAACACGGACAGTATTGTAAAATGAACTCACCGGCAAAAGTATAGCAGTCACTCCACCCAAGCGAAACCGATAGAATAATGGCTTCGTATATAAATAGTCGGAGTTCTAGACTTGCTATTAAAAAAGCTTGGCCTCCGCCCTCAATTGTTTCAAAACCTGAGATTCGGCATGATTGGCTGATGACGGCTTATAAGCCAGAAATGACCATCCGAACCTCCCTTGCCTTTATCAATGATCTCTTTGCCGTTCGCGACCGTCATAGTTGTAACAAATCTGCATGCTGGATAGGCCTCTCTACGTCATCGGAATAGCAAATCAGTTGTCGCTGCGCCTGCGACTTGAGCTCGTTTTTTGGACGTATCAGTAATCTAGCTTTTCAGGCCGCTCTTGTGACTTTCGCACTGCTCAATGTCTTCTGCAGCCATTGTCGGATCCGTCTTATGGTGTTCTTTTGTGCTGTCGGCCCTGACTGAGGCGATTTGAGCCCTGGCAAGCGAAATACGGGTTCGTTGATCTGTTTAGCGTGCCAGTCTCGGACCAACTTTCAAGCCCCAGTCTAGTCCTCTTATTGACTCGACCGCTATAGCGGACGCCATCTCAACTTCGAAACGGTGCATAGCTCTAGAAGTCCGATGACGCGCACTCGATTGAGTTTTTTGGCAGTTTCCTCGTTTAGTGTGGGTAGTGAGGCCTTGTCGATAATGCTGCAGCTGGTTGGCGAAGTATGTTCCAACTTATGTTTTAACTTACTGTTATAATCCGATAAAGTTTGACTATCAGTAGATTACCGATAAACTGGTCCAATGCAATTAATTATCTCTCTTAATTCACTAATTAAAATGAGCTTTTAAAATTTACGCACAGAATTAACATTTTGTTTTAGCCTGGATGTTATCTCCGACCACGGCGCATCACCCTCGATAAAGATAAGTTTGGAGAAAATATTTCAGATTTTAAGCCGGAAAATCCCTTGTCATGATGACGTCGATACGGATGCACTTTTTGAAGCACAACGCCAGGAGGAATTAGAACATATATCTGCGACCTATGCTAACAGACTAACCAGAAAGTCTCGGGGAAACGTTATCTCCGGCGAATTCACGGCCTTGCCACATTGCCCGGAGGGAGTTTACATTATTGGGCCTGGACTTCACCGCGAGTTACAGTATCCAGAAATATCTATTTCTCATGATGCCAACGGTCGCTTCACCTATCACCTAAATAGGTTACCTCCGATCTATTTTTGCTTCTACCTCGGAGCATCCTACCCTGCAGATCCGGACTTTAGTTTCACACTGGAGTCTATTTGGTTATCTTCGATGTAGGTAGACATGATCTCTGCTCGACTGACAGAAGAGATACGCATGTTTACTGGCGATTTCTTTGTGAAGCACTGCTGCGAATTTCTCGAAAACCAAGTGATTGACTACCTGTTTAGGACCTCTCCAGACGCACCCATTTTCATCGACTTATTCGACTACATTGAATCTGACGATACTTTCGCTGACGCCGAGGGTGGAGACAGGATATACCGACTAACGGACTTGGCTGTTGGTCACGAAGAACAGCTCAGGAATAAGGAGTTTGCCGATGCTTCTCACGAATGTCCTGTCTGCTTCGATGAGCTACCTGGCACTCAGTGTATTCGTTTCCGAAAGTGTCGTCATGTTGTTTGTCGTAACTGCGCAGCTGACCACTTTTCCACACAGATTGCACAGGGTACAAACGCCTGTGAGCCTACGTGTGTTTCATGTGCGGAGACTGTTCGCCAACAGGAGGTAAGAATTTGCCCATAACTATATTAGATGATATGCAGTGCGATTACAATTTCCGCAACCCAAGAATCGTCTGTCCATGTAACCTCTAAGAAACAAATGTAAACCAGTGAGGAAGGTATTGTCCTTTGGAATAGGGCTGAGGTAGGCTATAGTCAATTACTAATTAGTGTCTGAATGGCCCCACAGTTAACCGCGCTCTCAGATGCGACCGACTGAAATGTAGGTCATGTTGGCTCACTGCATGGGCTGAAATGAGTCTGCACAGGGGAGGGGTGTGAAGGTACGCCCAGACGTAGGCGTTTGCACCGCGACTCAACCACTGCGCCCACTCTCAACCCCAGCTGATTGACAGTCTAGGACCGTCGACTGCTGCAAAACAGAGAGAGAAAAAGCGAGTAACGTGCACAGTGGATAATCCAGCCTCATGGTAAATCAGCACGTTCCTCACTGTAATAAATCTGGTGTGCTTCTCAGAAACGAAAGTTGGGTTAAAATGCCTCTCTCCATCTGTAGCCTCTATAGCATTCATACGCGCGTGAAATCAGAGCTTCTATATGAACATCTAGAATGTGTTGTGGGCATCAGGGGCAAGCGTAGACGGGCCGTTAACCATTGTTATCATTTAAAGCCGTGGACATCTCTAGGCGTATTTTTTTTAGTTTGCCATCCCTGCGAGGTGGGTGCTTGAGGAGATAGTTCGGTAGCTGCTAGACAATAAAAACTGCCCCAATTTAGGCTATATCCTAAGCAAATCACTTGTGCTGTGCCTACTTCGGGGGCACGCGCTGGACGGAGTCGTATGCTGCGATCGAAATACCGATAACGCCTCTATCATAAGGGACCAGTCTGAGGCTCCTCGTAACATCTGATTGTCAGGAGAAGGTATTCGAGGATGATATTGGAAAGTAACAGCGAAGTGTTAGGATCTGAGTCATCGAATTTCATGAGCTTCGTCAGGTCTGGGCAAACAAAGTTCATTCTTTCTGCTATTGATCCTCTAATGCATCGTTTACTTCCTCTGTCTCTGAAGACTTAATCCACGCCTCTGTTGCAATAGGTTGCAGCCTGCTGTTAAGCCTGGTTTGATCAAGATAATTTCCATAGTTCGTTTCCTTGAAGTAGCGTTCGTTAATTGCCCATGTAGCGTTTTGTTTCCTTGAAAAAAATTACGCAAACTACCTGCTCAGTATACTCAAAGATAAAAATTAATCACGCGAACTCGCTTCCGTTGGTTAGCGAAGGCCGGCGATATGCTGGTAACAGATTGATACAGAACCACGAAAGCCAGAATGCTTTTTAATGTTTCGTTTGGCATTTACTGAAGCCCAGTCCGGCGGGCTTATTTGCTGCCTGCGTTTCCT